TGTGATCACGTGAATAGAATAAAGCAATATAAAAGCTGCACAAAATAAATCGTACCAATATGAACTTTATGTGATAATGAATGAAACAGACACGCAAAAAAGTAGCTGCCATGTTACAATCGAGATGACGAATCCGTAAGTGTGGACAATAATACAAATTGCATGTAGGTATTTTTATTTTCATCTTTGTCTTTGCGTATAATAGAGACAAACATATAAATTGATAAAAAATGTAGGATTGAAAAAGTCAATGAATTTATCTTAACTGAGCTACAGAATCATGATTATTTAAAAATTACTTTCTTTCAATTAGAACTTTTTATTCTAGATATGTATTAAAAACACTATCAGATATATTTTCTCCCATAATAAATGTTTAACTTCTAACGAAATGATATTTAAACTGTTTGTACATTTGGATGGAAGAGTGAGAAACTATTTTTTTGATTTAGTCAAATACAATGGACGAAACTTTTCTCACCCTGAAACTATAGGATTGGAAGTCGTACAATGCCAAGGGTTTTCTATTTCTTTACATCCATTCCTATCTTGTAATATTAATTGCGGTATTAGACTTATAATAAGTTGTCACAAACTTATGAAAGTCGAATTCTCCTTTTTATATGTAATCTTTAACAGCATATTAAAATATTAGTGAAATCGAGACAACTTATAAGCAGATAAAAATAGTTACAAACATTAAATGTAGCAGTTTCCACTTTTCCGTTACGTAGTCATTTATAACTATCAAATCTTGATCGAATAATAGTTTGAAAAGATGTCTCTTATTTCGAATTTTTAAATGAAAAATATATTTAAGTCCAAAACCCTGTCGATGAAACACCACGCCATAGAAATGATTTCAATCTCACAGTCTATCAAGAGGTATAAACCTGGCATACCCATTTTAAGTGAAATAGGATCAAGTAATTTTCTCTCTCTCACACACACATATATTATATTATATATATATATATATATATATATATATATATATATATATATATATATATATATATATATATATATATATATATATATATATATATATATATATAATTATATATATATATAATTTTATATATATATATAATTATATATATAGATATATATATATATAGATATATATATATATATAGATATATATATATATAGATATAGATATAAATATAAATATATATATATATATATATATATATATATATATATATATATATATATATATATATATATATATATATATAGATAAAGATATAGATATATATATATATATATATATATATATATATATATATATATATATATATATATATATATATATATATAGATATATATATATATATATATATATATATATATATATATATATATATGCGAATTTAATATATCATTTGAAGGATCTTTCATGAATGATTATTACATTGTTTTTATGTTTTGATTAACATAGGTTAAAAAATAAATTAGTTCGTTTTATTTTCAGGAAAGATTCAGCGGTGCTGCACATATTTTAAATGGAGCCAGTCCATGTGAAGACAGGTGGCAACTTAACTTATTTGGCTGTGCCTGCCACTGCATCTATTCTGGTATCGTCAATACAAGTTGCATGATTATATGCAAAGAGATCTATTTATGGAATTTAATGAGACTTTGTGAATTTAAGCAAGAAATATTCAAAAATTAAATATCAACATTGCAGTTTAAAGAACTTTCAACTCTCAATCAATAAAAGCTTTTATGCAGTAACTCTTTACTGCGTTAAATATGTATGTGTGTATTAGTATGTGGTATAAATTGTTGTTGGGTTTAACGCCATTTTTCAGCACACAATAGGTTATACATGGCGGCCAGTATTAATGGTGGAGGAAGAAACCGGGAAATCTCCATAGAGAACCACCAACCCACCAGAAGCCTCAGACCAGCTTTCTCACATATCCACATTCGGCGAATCCTACAATCGAACCCAGGCAGACAGAGGTGAGATGGCAGTGATCCGTAACGGACAGCGCTTTAGACCACTCGGCCACTATGGGTCTTCTCGTGGTATAAATTAAGCATATATATTTGTTGTTGGGCTTAACGCCATTTTTCAGCACACGATAGGCTATTCATGGCGGCCAGTATTAATGGTGGAGGAAGAAACCGGGAAATCACCGGAAAGAACCACCGACCCACGAAAAGCTACTGGCAAGCTTTCTCACATATCTACATTAGCCGAATCCTAGACTCGAACACACGCAGACATAGGTGAGATGGCAGTGATCCGTAACGGACAGCGTAAGCATATGTATAATATTTACTCTGGTCGCTGATATAAAACTTGTATAAATGTTAAATATATATTGTGTTTGTACATGGTCGAAATGGCGTTGGGATTGGTGCAAGCAGGAAAGACGATGGGTGCCGTAACACGTAGACCTGGGTTCGAATCTACGAAATAAAAAATATCAAACCTGTATATGTTATTTATTCAGATATAAAAATATACATTAATGCTATCAAGCATTTCTATTTTAGGAATGAGGGATATCACATTTGGGTCTATTCGCTGCGTATGTGTAGTTCTGTCTCTTTGCCTGACTCTCTCACTATATATTGTTCCTTCAACCTTCAAGTGCATTGTTTCCGATAAGGACTCGTTAGGGATTGACTAAATCAATGCAACAAACAACGAATAGTACTAAATGTAGTTTTTATCTAGCTTATACACTTTCACAGAGCTTTTGTTCAAGCAAAGACAAAACAGACAAAAGACAAAAAGAATGAACACAAAATGCGTTGAAAATTTTTAAGCTATACATGGCTGTTTCTAATGTAATTAAATCCTGACACTGTTTAATGGTTTGTATCAACTTGACTGACGATGTTGTAAAGTAGTTGGTACTGACGTACAAAGGAAGAACCTAACTAGGAAGTCATCGCTGCAACATCGCAGCAACAACAACAACAACAACAACAACAATAATAATAATAATAATAATAATAATAATAATAATAATAATAATAATAATAATAATAATAATAATAATAATAATAATAACTTTGTGTTGAACGTAAATAACACATATGATGCCGTGGCAACGTTGTGGCAGCATGATGAACTTGCTGTAATATTACTATTACGTTGTTGTTTAACGTCATAATGTACATTTCTACAACATTCTGATGACATTCAAACCTATAAAAATATAGAATAAAGCTGCTTAAATTATAAGAATTTATGATAACTTGTGGTTCCATGCTCTTAGTGATACTTTTGATTAATTCTCGAAAATCTGACATGTGCCTATTCAATAATATTACTCGTAAATTTGACAGTTTATAAATTATGAAGCTCCTATGGCTGAATATTCCACCTGATTCCATATAGTTTTATTTGCATCCCGCAAATCCGCATCTATACTCATATCCACCTCAATTCCGGACAAAACATTCTTCCCAGACTAACTTATAACTGTTATTACTTGACAAATGTACTGCATAGTCGATGACGTGTGTGCTGCTTTCGTTACTCAGAAAAAAGTTCATATACATAATTATCACTGACAAGCAATGCCAGCATTTAATTGTTTACCACCATCTATCATAATGCTCATCCATGTCTATAATTATCAAGATTTAGTTACCTTTAACATCGTCTCGGTATTTTTTTTGGATGTGTTTTTCTACATCTAAGCATATCAGCATATATATCTGTCTAAACATAACTTACTTTAATTCGCTTGAAAACTTCTTTAAATCTCGATTGTAATTTATTTCATTTCATTTTATTTTATTTATTTTATTTTAAAAATAGTTTGTAAAGAACGTAATAATCTTACACCTTTGAACTACAACCGCACAGGTAGCCTAGTGGTTGGAGCGTACGCTTAGGATGTGGTAGGTCGTAGATTCGATCCCCGGTCGAGTCATACCAAAGACTTACAAAAATGGTACTAACAGATAACTAGTTCGACGCTCAGCATTAAGAAGTTAGTGTTATGACTGATCGGCCTGGTGTCAGGATAATGTGACTGGGTGGGACATCATGCTACATGTCTGCGGCATGATGCCCCAGTGCTAGACATCACTATAAACTGCCACACTGCAGACATTGTAGCGATATAAGTGAAAAATTGTTAAAGTTACGTTACAATTCTAAATCAAACACACACATACTTGGATATAGAGAACTGAATTTATAGAGAAATTTATAATGAAGATTTTACTCTTGATTTGTATTATAGCGATCCAACAAAAGATTTTTGGCAGAAGAGCATTCAACACTTAATGTCGAGAGCCAAGAGATGCAGCTGTTACTATCATTTTGAATGTTTTTGGTATGACTGCCGGGGTTCGAACACGCGACCTCCCACATCTGAAGTGGATGCTCTGACTACTAGACCATCAGAGCGGTCCAAGAATCTTATTTTAATAAGTTTCTTGTATTTCCAGAGAAGAATTACTTGAATAATTTAAATAACTAAAATTCCAACTTTAATGAACAACTGAACATAACAATAAAACAACGGATTCTTCCACAAAATCTTGTATCACGAGTGACTAATTTTCAAATAAAAAGATTTATATTTTAAACTAAGACGCAATAAGGTGAAAAGTTCATTGTTCTAGAAGGATATTAATTATATTTAGAAAGTGCTTCACTAAAATCACAATAAAACATACGACAATCATCACACAGTGTAGCTATAAACAAAATATGTCATTGACTCGGGTTCAGATATTGATTTTCACTCAGAGAGAAAATAAATTGCTTACATAATTGTGTGTGTTAGAGTGTGTGTGATTTAGATTTTTAACGTAGCTTTTAACAAATTTTCAGTTATATCGCAACGACGTCTGCTGTGTGACAGTTTATAGTGATGTCAGGCACTGGGGCATCATGCCACAGACATATGACATGATGTTCCACCCTGTCACATTATCCTGACACTAGGCCAACCAGTCCTAACACTAACCTCTTAATGCTGAGCGCCAAGCGAGGCAGCTGTTAGTACCATCTTTGGTATGACTCGGCTGGTGTTCGAACCCACAACCTTCCGCATCTGAGGTGGACGCTCTAACCACCAGGCCATCAGAGCGGTGCTTATAGAATTGTCACTGGTTTTGAACAAGGTCAGCTACTAAATACAATGTCCCGTTACCCGTAGGTTATAGTGAAATAGAAAAAACAACAACTGAAATTGAATATAAATAACAATTATAAAAATATAATTTTCTTTGATTTGGAGAAGATGTTTAAATGATTATTACTATTGATTAAGCAACGTTTCCTGGTAGGTATCATTATAAAGTACATAAGTTTTCTAAACTTCTATGGTTTATATTTCTCGAATGTAACTGCTTGATATTATTTATGATATAACAATTTGAAAGCAGACGGTAACTTTATTTCTTCAGTTTCGTTGCATTTTTGTCTTGTCTCTTCCCCAATCACAATATTATATCTGTTAGTGTGAATATTTCCAAATTTAGAATGTTGTGCTATTCTGATAGCAGAGGAAACTTTCTTTGGTACAAAATAACGCTGACTCTATTCCATTTGTCTTTTACTAATTCTGTAATTCTGTCTCTCCTCTCTGTCTGTCTGTTTCACCCTCACTTCCTCTCTCTCTCTCTCTCTCTCTCTCTCTCTCTCTCTCTCTCTCTCTCTCTCTCTCTCTATATATATATATATATATATATATATATATATATATATATATATATATATATATATATATATATATATATGTGTGTGTGTGTGTGTGTGTGTGTGTGGTGTAAAGGCAGAAATGATGAGGAATGTTTGAGGTGGATGTAATACATACAAATATATAACTTTTTATGCCAACTACTATCTTGCATATCATAGTTTAGAGTGTGCGAAACACAGTATAGTATTTATTGCTACAAATTAAGAATACCAATGGAATAGAAAACGGAACAGCTTGCACTGCATACACAAGTTATATTCATTATCCAAAGGTCTGGACTCTTCAAATTCATAGCATAGTGAATGTTCATCTGATCAGAAGCTAATTCTTAAGAGTATATAAAAAATCAGAATCTTTAGAAATATTTTAAATTTTGTCTGTAGAATAACTTTAGATGATATTGATTCTTACATATTCCATATTGTACGACTTCTTTTGACACTTATATTTCAAAATATGACAACCTAAGACAATGATAGTACGTTTAGTACGGTTAAGATTCCCATATATACATCCTGCATGTATCATCAATTAAGCTTAACTCTATAAAAATCTCTTGTCCACATTCACTAATTAATTTCAGCGGAAATTTACTCATGGTAACCATAATGATAATGAACCCACATAAAAATCTTGTTCAGACCTGAGAGTAAAAGTCAAAATTCTTCTATACCTTTGTCTAGCTTAACACTTTGTGTTAATTTCAAATTCAGTCAACAGCAGAGATAGAAAGAATCTATGTCATTCAGTTCGAAATACTGCTTATTTCAGTGTATAACATTAGTTATATTCGTACGTTCTCCTCGATCTATGCTTGTTCGAGTTCTTATTATTTCGTCATGGTCAGTTGTCTTCACATATAAAACTAATTTCAAATACTTTCTTTAAGAGGAAAACAGTTTAGAAAAATCGTACTCATATGTATCATCTATGTCCGTCTCTTTTTTGTTTTAACCTAGCATGACATATTATCGCTTATCTCTTCGTTGTGCGGAGATAATATATGATTTGAAAAGTTGTCAACCATACGTGGATTGAGCCAGATTTTAAGATTTTATCCTGCAGTTCTCTATATCTGTCTTTCTTTTTTATCCATTATTGCACACAGTAATGATAGAGTAAGATGTGAATAACAAATCCAAAAAGTGCGATTAGAAAGCAGATGTGTTTAATTTTGCAAAAATGAACATATCACGATCACTATTCCCATTCCAGGTCAAGGTCTATCATTACATGATCACTGTTCCCATTCCTGGTCATTGCCTATCCTTACACATTAACTGTTACCATTCCTGCTCAAGGCATATATTCACGGGATTTCGGACACGTTCATTGAGATGCCAAACTATTTATAATATACACTTGAGAAAACTTGTCGTACTGACTATTAATCTGAAATAGCGAAAGATTCAGTCCTTGCCAAAGACACTTTAGGTAACTGCTTTGGGATGTCTTTGGTATAAGCTCGTAACTCACATTTCCTCGACAACATGTAACCAATATTGTGTTAAGATGCTGTTAGAACAATCCAAAATCATCATCTTCTTCTTCTTCTTCTTCTTCTTCTTCTTCTTCTTCTTCTTCTTCTTCTTCTTCTTCTTCTTCTTCTTCTTCTTCTTCTTCTTCTTCTTCTTCTTCTTCTTCTTCTTCTTCTTATTATTATTATTATTATTATTATTATTATTATTATTATTATTATTACAATGTCAACCTCTATAATTAGTAATATTATAACGCCAAAAGAGCCCATCTACAAAAATACTCAACATGAGCTGTTTCTCCTCTTTCTCCATCTTCTACCAGTTTTCTACTAACTCCTATTTGTTCAACAAATTACGACTGATTGTACAAACTTAACTGAATGATCATCTTGTTATACGTTTCTATATTGTATGCTTATCTTTTGTCCTTGGTTGTAGATTATTAGGGTCATTCGAAAGAATTATATTGCAATACTAACTTTGTCCATGATTGTAGATTTTGACTATCATTTGTAAGCAGTCTATTGTAAAGCAACCTTTGTTAATGTTTGCAGATTAACAATTTAAGATAATATTTATAAGCATGTCAACCTGAATTTTAGTTCATACATTTGTTTTTCTTATTGGAAATTATTTCATTTCCCTGATTTTTGCCAGGTCGAGTGCTAAAATTTAAGCAAACAGATCTGGCATTGTTTACAAATTTGATGGAAATTTCATTGAAAATAACAACTTCCTAATCATCCTACAGTGTTGTCTCTACATAAAGTTGTTTAGATGAAATTTATTCATTTCCATCTCATCATCACTTTTTTGAAATCATTTTGTATTCAGTTACAATTTGAGAGGAAGTTTCTTTTGCAATTTTTCATTTGAATTACATAGGGCCTTTTTAATGTTTGAACTAAAATATTATTTTGCAATTACTGTGAGTTTATTCAACGTCCACCTGGTTTATACCATTGTGATGCATCAAAACTATTAGCACATCAACATGTTAAACACTATTGGTATACCAATGCATTAAAGATTGGAATTCATTCGTAACACTGCTGCAATTGATTATACTTGGGGACTTGTAATAAAATATGTTGGATTATTTATTATTTAAATTACGACAATTAGTTTCTCAATCATTTTCATTTCACAAAATTGAGAACTAAATTATTTGTTGAATTTTACGCAACTTGTTGATTTTGCTTCCTGCTCTAACTTAGTTTAAGACCATAGAATCGTAACTCAACGAGTTTTCAATATGACCGAAGAATAAGAATATTAGACACATATAATCTAGTTGGGATTTTAAGTAAAATATTATTTATCTAAAAATAATGTTTCGTGTGATTGCTATACTTCTCTCCTATCACAATATTTATATAATTCAAACAGCTAAAAATGATGTAAGACATAATTTTTATTTGTCTGCAGTTTCCGCATCTATAAGAGTTCAATTTGACAGAAACATTGCGTAATGACTGTACATCGATATTTATTCTGCTAATAAACTATTATATATCTATCTATCTATCTATCTATCTATCTATCTATCTATCTATCTATCTATCTATCTATCTATCTATCTATCTATCTATCTATCTATCTATCTATCTATCCATCCATCCATCCATCCATCCATCCATCCATCCATCCATCCATCCATCCATCCATCCATCCATTCTATGTATGTATGTATGTATGTATGTATGTATGTATGTATGTATGTATGTATGTATGTATGTATGTATGTATGTATGTATGTATGTATGTATGTATGTATGTATGTATGTATGTATGTATGTATGTATGTATGTATGTCTGTGTGTATGTGTGTGTATGTATGTATGTATGTATGTATGTATGTATGTATGTATGTATGTATGTATGTATGTATGTATGTATGTATGTATGTATGTATGTATGTATGTATGTATGTATGTATGTATGTATGTATGTATGTATGTATGTATGTTTGTTTGTGTGGTGTATGTGTGTGCGTGTGTGTGATTTGCTACGAATCCATCCATCCATCCATCCATCCATCCATCCATCCATCCATCCATCCATCCATCCATCCATCCATCCATCCATCCATCCATCCATCCATCCATCCATCCATCCATCCATCCATCCATCCATCCTATCTGTATGTATGTATGTATGTATGTATGTATGTATGTATGTATGTATGTATGTATGTATGTATGTATGTATGTATGTATGTATGTATGTATGTATGTATGTATGTATGTATGTATGTATGTATGTATGTATGTATGTATGTATGTATGTATGTATGTATGTATGTATGTCTGTGTATGTGTGTATGTGTGTATGTGTGTATGTATGTATGTATGTATGTATGTATGTATGTATGTATGTATGTATGTATGTATGTATGTTTGTTTGTGTGGTGTGTGTGTGTGCGCGTGTGTGTGATTTGCTACGATTTATTCAAGTTGTACGGTTTAGAAGCGATTATAAATGATATCTTAAAACTGAATAAAATTGGAGTCAAATGGTCAGTATAAAAAAAGCCTTTTCTTATGCAGGTTGTTTACATGGAAGTGGTATCCAGTTTTACATATTAAGGTGTCAGTGTGTTCATAAATATGTTTCATCTGTTATATCCTGTAATAGAATCTTCAGCATTGGGCGTATATGTTAACGAACTACAAATTATTTTGTATCCAGATAATCAGTGTATGGGTTGGGGAATAAACAAATACTAAATTTTTTGACAACGCAACAGTGATTTTAGTGAATGCCACTTTGTTTGAAATCAATTCCAATTTGGTTGAAGTCAATTCCACTTTGGCTGAAGTCAATTCCACTTTGGTTGCACTTTGGTTGAAGTCAATTCCACTTTGGTTGATGTCAACGCAACTTAAATTCAAGTCTAATGCT